ATTGCGTAGAATATTCGGACCGAAGCAGGATGAGTTAACCGGAGAGTTCAGACGGCTACACAACGCCGAATTACGTGAGCTGTATCCGGGTAATATAATTGATGTAATTTCATCGCGGCGAATCAAATGGGCTTGTAAAGTTGTTGGGCTTAGTAACGAGAGAATTCCTAAAAGGTTAATATTTGCTGTGCCGAATGGTAAGCGTCCGAGGGGTAGACCGAAGCGAAGGTGGGAAGATTGCATTAAAGCCGATCTGAAGGGACTGGGTTTGGACGGCGAACGGTGGAGGGAGGTGTGTAACAAGCGATTGGTGGTGTCGGCATCGAACCTTCGGGTTCGCTAAGCCTTATTATTATTATTATTAAAGGTCTACTTTCATGTTTTGGGAACCGTAGATTCTGAAAATGACCTCTATTTTATGATTACGCTACTGCGTTTCAACTTATTTAAGTTTTTAGAATTTAACAAGTATAAAGGTCTAATTTTATGTTTCTGGAGCAGTAGATTTCTCCCACTTTGTAAATGACTTAATTTCAACTTTATGCCACTGTGTTTTGGATTATAAAAGTTTTTTTTTTTTTTACTTTTTCGGTATAAGGATCTACTTATATGTTATCCGAGATGTATTGAAAGTTTTCTAGTCTTTAATATTTAAATTTATCTAATATTTAAGCTCCATTTTATGATTAAGCCGCTGCATCTCGAATAATTAGGCTTCATTTTGGATTTTTTCAATACAAAGTTTCATCAATATGTTTTCGAGTATGAATAAATAAATAAATATTATGAAGCTAAAGTTAAATTAACCACAGAATACAAACTAAAAAGCCGAAAAGCAGCTGGTAATAAATTTAACCTTCCGTATTCAGATTTTTCAGCTAATTGTTCGAAATCTTATAATTTTGTGACAGGAGGCCACAACATTAAAAAAGATAACTAAAATTAAATTAAAAATGAGACAATACATATTTTATTTATTTTGATAAGATATTTTTATTTATTTATTGAAAAATAAATTAATGCTTCGTATTTTGTTTTTTATTCGAAGGAAAAATCAAAAACACTTAAAAAAACCGAAACACAGTGGCCTAATCTTAAAATGTAAGTCGTTTTAAAAACTAAGGTTCCAGCATCATAAAAGTAGACCTTTAAATTGGATAAATTCGAAAAACTTGTATAAGCCGAAACGCAGTGGCGTAATCTTAAAATGGAGGTCATTTTCAAAATCTACGACTCCGGAAACATAAGAACACACTCTTTTATGATAAAAATTCGAAACACTTAAAGAAATCGAAATGCGGTGGCCTAATCTTAAAATGGAGGTCGTTTTCAAAGTCTACGGCTCCGGAAACATCAGAATAAACCCTCATATGAAAAAAATCCGAAAAACTCAAATAAGTCGAAACGCGGTGGCCTAATCTTAAAATGAAGGTCGTTTTCAAAATCTACGGCTCCAGAAACATAAAAGTATACCTTTATATTGGATAAATTCTAAAAACTTAAATAAGTCAAAACACAGTGGCGTAAACATAACATGGATGTCATTTTCAAAATTTACTGATCTGGAAACATAAAAATACACCCTTATATCGAATAAGTCAAAAAAACTTAAATGATTCGAAACGCAGTCACTTAATCTTAAAATGGGGATATTTTCAAAACTATGTACAGGACAGCATAATACTAGTCCCTAATAAATCCGAATAGGTACAATAAATTGATATCCGTAAGTGAAAATTCTACTTAGGAGAGCATAATAATAGCCTTTCATATTGGAGGGGGGGAGGGGATGGCCATTATTTAAAAAAAAAAATATAAGATTTACAAAAAATTAAAACATTAATTTGAAATGAAAACGGTTGAATTTGACTTGGAAAAAGTTTAATTTGATCTGGAAAAGGTTGAATTTGACTTGGAAAAGGTTGAATTTGACTTGGAAATGACATAGAAATATCACACTGAAAAAATCTAAAATGTTAAAATAAATGGATATGCAACGGCGTTATCAAAATTTTTTTTGTATTTTTCAAAAGCTATGCCTTCGATAATATAGTAAGTGGCCTTCATTTCGAAAAAAATCGAAAGTTGAATTTGAAATGGAAAAGGTTGAATTTGACTTGGAAAAGGTTGAATTTGAAATGGAAAAGGTTTAATTTGACTTGGAAAAAGTTGAATTTGATTTGGAAAAGGTTGAAATTGACTTGGAAATGCTATATTATTGTGATGTCCAGTAATTTCGCATGGACAGTTATATGTGGCAGCAATTAGAGCACGTTCATTTAAAATATTGAAATTTATATTTTCAATGGCAATGGGCCATTGAAAATTTAAATTGGGCCTATGCACTAAACAATAACAGAACATTAAAATAGAACATTATTTACATAGAAGTTTTGAATAAAAATGGATTTAAAGTGAATTTAAATTGCTAAATTAAATATATTTTTTACTTGCTTAATCATAATATTAATTTATTGTTATAATAACACACATAAATTAAAATGAAAATTAAATATTTTTGAATGAGTGTATTTTGTATTACTTATAAATAATTTTAAATGACTTGAGCTCGATTTTTAATTGAAACTGAAATTTTGTTTGTATTAATAAATGAGGATTTTTGAATCGTGATTTACTCTTTATTTATTTACTTTATTTTTTATTTAATTATATCTTTTCCTCAAATTTTTAATGGCTATGGTCGAATTTCGACCACTGGGTGAACACTAGTAAAAGATAAATGGGCAACCTTGGCGATCCTTTTTTTATTGTTTGAATATAAAAATATTAAAGAATAAATAGGAATCCTTCATTTTTCGCTATAATTTGTAAAATATTGGCTTACAAAGTCAAATATGTAAGCACACATAAAAACATTTCTGGGTTGGGCATAACTGCCAGTAAAGTCATGCATAGCGTTGGCATCTCTGTTTACATTATTCATGTATAGAAACCTGTACATTTTACAAAAAGATTTTTCATTTTCTAAAAAGAATCGTTTCTTCTTGAAGCTTTGCAATGATTTTTAAATGAGTTTAGACTCTAAAAGAAGCTGTCTTTGGTCAAGTATGCAGATTTTAAAGAATAAACTGATCATATTTTATTTAATAGCCTTAATTCCTATTAGAATAAAAGTTGACATTGTTCTTAAATAACTACATTAGAGAAACAAAACCTTAAAACATAAAAGGCTTCCCACTTAAAAAGCATTAGAGAACTCTATGGAGTATATTAGTATTGTTTATTTGGGTTTGAAAACTTTATGTAACCTGAAAGGATGAGTTATTCTTCTTATAATACAATTTTTTTCAAACAAAGTCCTCCCGAACAGATGTGGGGGTCACCGATTCAAATGAAAATTTTGTTGATATCATTGTTGACGGAAACAAAAAGTACTTAGTTCTCCCTATGCGTACTTTCTATTAACTCAATTTAATTAGAATTATTCATCACAAAAATTGAGTATTTTATTATTATTTTTTTTATTAGAGTATAATTTATATTCTATATTGAAGAGAAGAATAGTTGGGGTGCTCAGTCAAAAAAGGAAGGCAAAAAATAAATTATAATATTTATTTTTTTATATATGCCGACGTTTCGACCTGAAGTTCAGGCCTTCATCAGGGCTTTCTCCTTAAGTGTCAAGGGGAGAAATATATTCTATATTAAGTATAAAATAATATATTTAATATATTCTATATTAAGTATAAAATAATTGTTTCATGAACCAGATGCCTAGAACTTAAAAAAATATATATACACAAAATTAAGGTTAATATACATCAACATGGATACCCATGTTCTAATTACATAAATACCGTTAATTATTATAGGTTTTATAATTTTCCTGTCACTCTTGTATCAGACATATTAAATCATTTTGAATTCATTCATTATAATGTATATGGAGGTGTACTTTTAGAAAATAATATACATCCAAGGGCGTACACAGTTTTCATATTAGGGAGGTAGCAAGACTGAATAAAAGAAAATTTCAAGTAGGTAAATGATTACAAACTATATAATATTATACTAAGTAGTTCATTTTTACTGCTATTAATAAATATTTTTATATGAAACAATAAATACACAGAGCAATAATTTAAAAATCCTCCTGATTATGCATATACATACATTTTAAGAATATATTTTAATGTATCAAACCATTTAAACATTTTGTATTTGCAAGGTGGCCCAGCAGACTAATGAATGTGTAAAATAAAATTTTTATTTTTCGGTTACTTTGAAAATTCATATTTGAAGGTTTTTTCAAGTGCGAAATACTAATCTCAATTTGGTTTCTCCTTATATGAATATGTCGTAATAGAGCTCTCATAAAAGATATAAATAGAAAAAAAAAAAAAAAGCAATAAAACTATCTTGCCAGTCATGATTCTTTTCAATTTTGATAATTTTTTGTTTTCATTTTGTAAGGGATTCAGGAAGCTTTCAAATACTCATAGGTTTATTGCACCAAAAATTGTATACTTTTTGAGTTATTCGCAAATAAAATTCTGAATCCATCACAATTTTTTTCTAGCCTCTTTTTGGGAAAGTATATACTTATTAAATTCAAAGGGCTTCAAGGAAAAGACTTTAGCCTAGTCTCATTAAAATTGCTACAGCCGTTTTGGTGCGATAGTCTATAGTGATAATTAAATCTAAATAAAAACACTCCTGAATTTGATTGTAATCTTATATCAACATTTCAAAGCAATTGATTAAGAACTTATGGACATTAGCGGTTTTCAACAATCTAATATTCACATTTTTTACTTAAAGGCACTGTTTCAGAAATTCTTTTATTGATAACACTAAAGGTTGTCAAATGCTAGTAAAAAAAAAAAATAAATAAAATAAAGACAGAAAGTAGGTTGAGAAACAGAGAAGAAAAAGGGACTCAACCGTTCAAACTTTGCCTATTTATATAATGAAATTGGTTGTCCATTCAACAGAAAAAAAGTCTAATTAAGAATCGAAAATATTATTATGATCCTTACTTTTAAAGGAGTGATGTCAAGTTTTTGTTTCGAAAGCCATTTTTCATCTTCAGAGTCAATGTCATAGTCTGGAACATCCTCCTCCATTGAAAATGCTGAAAAAGTTACCAATAAACATCATGCATTTGGAAATCACTTTTTAAAGCATATTTGACAAAAAAAATATATATAAACTTTTAATTATACTTATAAAAGAGTTCAGTTACAACTTCATAAATAAATATATATTTTCTAAAATTGTTTTTTTATCATGGTGGTTACCAGATTGTACTTATCTGAAATGTGGTTTCAGAAATATTTAGGATTAAGTAACAGTTCAAAATATTCAGTGTGACGAATTGTTGTAGTTTAGTGATTACTCTACAGTGAAAATTATATTCAACTAGTTAAATAAATGTACTAAACTTATTAGGTAAGAAACATTAACATAAAAATAGACGTTTGGTTACTTTATCGATTTAAAAACAAAATAAGCAGATAAAATATACCTAAGAACTTATTATTGGATACGATTAGTTGATTATTTTAAAATAAATTCAATTGTAATAAAAAAAATATTAAGAAAAATAAAATAAACTTGGAACTAATTATTTATAATTATGGTTGGATGCTGCACAGTCACAGTAAAAATAATTATTTTTTTTACTTTCATTGACTGCAGCAACCTACCAATTATTTCTCTACTACTAATAATTATACTTGATAAAATCATTATTTTAAATTATAAAAATGGATATAATTAAGTATTAATTATATTAAAACTTAAGAATATAAACTGTTTACGTTGCATATGAATCAGTTGTCTAGGTGGTTTATAATTGGCTGGATAGAGTCGTTCGAATGCTTCTCTATCTTCCATTATTGAGACTTCTGGAGTGGGGATGATTAGACCAGTGACGATTGCCCGTTGAAGATGATGTTCCTAGAATAATATATTTATTAAATCACAAAATAAAGAAGCAGGGCAGTACAATTAAAATCTTAATAATAACCTTCTTTTTTTTTTCTTGAAATTAAAATCAGTTTGTTCCTTTATTATTAATTTTTTCAATTAAATTTTTATATAATTCTTAAGCCAACCACACATATTTTTATTGAAAGGTGAATATATATGGATTTTAATTTAATTACTCAATCTCTCTAAATTGTTAATATCATTTTTTTTTTTTTAGTTCTTTTTGAGATATATTACAATCTGTCACATTTAAAGACAATGGTAATAGTGATAAAAGAGTAGCTCATTCACACTATGTACAATAAATAAAAATAAATAAACAGCAAAATAATAATACTAATAGTAAATGTATATAAACTAAAAAAAACTAAACTAATCAAAATAACTACTTAAATACACACATGTTGGTATTGCTAGACAGGATAAAATGTGATCGTATCGACAAAACTTGATCCGTTTTTAATAGCAAGGGTAGTTGGTTAACATTTTCAAGTTTATATTGAGCGCCTAATACTCGAAAACTTTTAAAAAGTATAAATTTAATCACGAATAAGGCATCTTCCACTAACTTTATATTCTTCATGATTAAATCGTGTAGATCACATATGGAATGATCTCCAAAGAAGGTTATCTTTCCGAATTATTCTCGCTCCAAGAACTGTTGGATTTTTTTTAATCTAGGATATGGTATAACTATGGAAACTAGAGATATCATAAACAATATGGTAAGATGTAGGATTATCGTGGAAAAAATACAGTTCTCTTTCTCCTTTCGAAAAAAAAAACAAATAAAAACTATATTTTTCTTTGTTAAAAGAAATAAATTAAACGTAAATTACTATTTTTGTTCATCAACTTCTTTTTCAAAGGTTTACAAAATTAAGAATAAGTAATTATAACGTTAGACATTAATAAATAGTTTTAGAAAATATCCCTGATAATTCGGGAGTCATTTGTAAATAATATCCACACTAATATAGAGTATGATCCTGATAACATGTCAATTAGAAATTTAAAATTAAATTAACGAATTAAGGTGATGGAAAATTATAGTTATATTATATGTTTGTGATAAAGCACAAATTTTTGGATCAGTCTGATTTGAAAATTCTCTTTGTTTTTGATAAACCGTATATTGAGATTTAGAAGATACGAATTATAGGTAACCATAAACTTCAACAAATATGGAAAACTGTGAGCAACTCTGTCCTTGTATGGAAAAAAATCACATAAATTTTAGCTTCAACAGAATTCAAGTGATAAGGAATGTAATTATGATTTAATTTGAATTTTTTTAATAATAACAACAATCATAATTAGCTAAAACATGAATTAACTGTACGTCTCGGAGCTGTGTTGGGAACTAGAGGAGAATGGCGTTTACTAATGCCAAACGGCACTGCTCAACTACTCTCAGCTTCTACTTTTTTTTATTTATTTATAAAAACTTATTATTTTATTGAGGGGCCGTGGTGGTCGAGTGAGTTAAGGCACCTGCAAAAATTGTATGCTACAAGTTTAAATCTCATTCGCAGGATTCAATAACAAAAAAAAAAAAAAAGGATAAAAAATATAAATAAATAAGCGCAGTTTCTACTCAATTGCTTAGACCACTCTGGCACAGGTTTGATTCCTGTATGGGTACGGTAACGTCCCTATTCTGAGATTCACAGAAAGGTGAGAGTGACCCCTGTCTAATAACATAGCTCCTTTGGTCCTCCAGAATGGGGGTTGGGCACAGGAATAATAACCCTATCCCCTAAAAAACAAAAACAGGATAGAGAAATCTGCAAAAAGTTGCCAATCATCCTGATGAAGAGAGAGTGATTGCGATCGCGTCTGGTCATTACAAATCACGTGCTCTAATCTATATAAGAGAACCAAACAATTCCAGCTTATCGCCTAGAACATAGCCAATGCTCCAAGAAGACTAATGGCGGAAGTCAAAAGAGTCAAGAGGTGTTAAAAAACAAAACAAAAATTATTTGATTGAAATAAAAGTTTTGTTAATTGCTTCACAAGGTTTATACCTCATTGCATAATATTATATGATTTTTTTTTTAAAGATTAATAGAAAAGTAATACATATATTATAACAATAATATCTTTATGAATTAAAATAAGCTCAATTTGATATCAAAGATCAATTTTAGTTCGAAAACTAGTTCTGGTCACTAATAATAAATAAAATAAAATAAAGAAGAAGACTGCTACTACAACCCATAAAGGAATTTCAATACATTGTAAGGAAGTACAGTTTCTATGACAACAGTAATGTAAGGATGCCATTATCAACCGTCAGGTTTTTCCGAAAAGAGTACCCTACTCTATGGATACTGAATATGCCACAGGAAGGTTTTCCAATCCCCGGGTCGATCCACAGCTTATATAACGGAATATCCTCAGTTTATCATAAAAAATCACTCAATGCATTTTTCATATACATTAACTTAGAAGTATATTTTTGGGAATTTCGACCTTATTTATCCATGTAAGAGCATGAAAATTACATATACCGTTTTATTTATCATAAAATAGTTAAAACTTATTGCACAATTTTCTGATTTTCCAAAGATAAAATTCATCAAAGTTTTGAATTCTTTGATGTTATGAAAAGTCACTTTATGACTTTTTGCAATTAACCGACAATATAATCTGCCACAACCGGACTCGAACCCAGGCCAAGAGGAATAAAGGACCTCACTCACTGAAGACCCTCCTCAATAACTCTAAACAAAAAAGCTACAGGGGTTTCAAATTTTACTAAAAAAAAAAATTAAATCATACATAAATACTACAGTATCAAAAACATTGAAAAAATACAAATCAATAGAAAAATCAGATAACGACAATGAAATCAATATGGAATCCACTGGAAGGAGATCCACATCATGAGGAATAAAGGCAAATTTCCTTTTCTCTTATAAACCATCGGAAAAAAAACAGGGTTGAGTAAAATGCATGAACTAGTACTAGCAGTCGAGGATAAATTAATATTAATTAGGTTGTGAGATATTAAAATAATAATTTATAAACCATAGACAGAGAAATAAAGTTCTATTTCTACCAAATTCTGTGACTAGTCCCCTCAAAAAAAAAAAAAAAAAAAAAAAAAAAAAAAAAAAAAAAAAACTAACTCCGGATTCACCCCTGCATGAAATAAATTGATCCAAGCATCATAGATGGTTAAAGAATTTAATCTTAAAGCCATCACTATTTTTAAAATACAGTGATTGAAACGGAAAAAACATTAATTTATTTTTAAAAAGTTTCGGTTCACTGGAATTTGTAGTCGGTAGTTTGTCAATTCTTTTGTGTAACTAGAACTTTTTCCATTACAACATATGGGTCATCATCAGGATGTGTTTTGAGCACTGAAGGTATTCAAGTACTGACACTTTGCTAGGTAAGTAACTTCCTTCAATAATTCATTAAATATTTACAGAATAAACCAGCCTCTCTTTGGCATACAAATAAAAGTAGTCTCTTTGATATTAAGAACAATAGAAACATCATCTATAATACTGATTTTTAAACTTATTTAATAAAGCCGTAACACCATTGAATGGCATAAAAATATTAAAAAACAATAAATCGCTTTAGATTCCACAGAAACGATTTCTTCAAACATAGTTTAAAGAATATAATTAGAAAACAAAATTATTATTAAACACGAAAAATCGCAAAAGGTTTGACGAGTCCTTTTTTTAAGACATCACGTCTTCTAAGGCAACAACAGCAAAAGAGGAGTTAACCCTTTCTTTGATTGGAACAATATACAGAAAGGAAGCAGCAACATCGTAATTGACTCTCCATAAAGGAACATCTAAATTCATGTTATAATAAATTGAAAAATGAGTTCTCCTAATCAAAAGTGCAAATAGGCACAGATTAATTTAGAGACATAACAATTTTGTTATTCCATTAATAATTGTTCTAAAATATAAAAATAATTCAAAAACTGAGAGGGCTAGATCTTAGATCACATCTAAGTTTGCATAACTTAGATATAATTTCAAAAAAACTAATTTAGTAAAAACATATAGGAAACATCTTGTAACAATTTAATTAGGAGAAATTGTTATTGAGCATTTTTTATTGAATATTATTTTATTTTTTAGATTGAATATTTCTTTTTTTGGGTTATAACTAATGTAAAATGCATCACATAGCCAGCTAAGTGTCTTCACTTATTTATTAAATGTAAATAGAAATTTCACCATAAACAAAAAAATATTTTCAATGTAGTTTCAACCGAAACTCCATATAGCATACAAATCTCTGAAAAAGACCTGCAAAGTCGGATCGAAACATTGGCTTTAAATAAAACAGTTACTTTACTATTTTAGTTTTTTATTACCGCCACCCCAGACTCTTTTCTCTGTTTATATTAGTGACCTTCCTGATGATGTTCAACACTCCTGTTATCACCTATATGCTAATGATTTCAAAATTTATCAATCATTCCAACCTTCTGAGATGCCCGAGGCTGCCTGAAAGCTACAAGAGGATATCGACTGCATCGACAGATGGGCAGAAATAAAGGAATTAAAGCTGAATGCAGATAAAACTAAGGCTATTCTCATTGGGTCCAGATATCTCATTAGCTCCCTTCCTTATTTTACCTCAATAACCGTCCCATCCATTTTTCCCTACAGTGAAAGAACTTTTTCTGGAATAACCATATCTCCCAGATTACGTGAAAACTCATAACTGTCCTTACACAACTCCTAAGATTCCATGATTGTATTCCTCTAAAAACCAGACAGCTCGTTGTAAACTCCCTTATATTTCCCCACTTCCCCCTTTATATCTGCCAGACTAGAAATGAGACTGAAGAAACTCATGAACTGTTTCATAAGATACATCTTCGGGATAATTCATAAGATACACTCTCTTAATACCAGGTCTCAACCTATAGATTTATATATCCCCCATAAAACTACTTCCTTCAGCTAATCCTTCGTGCTATCTCCTTTTGGAACTCTCTTTCTACCTCCATACATAAATCCTCGTCCACAAATTCCTTCAAACAACTCCTGTTCCACCACCTACTCCACATTCAAACTTCCACTACCATGTAAAATTACTTGTATCTGTATACTGTTTAATTTCAATATGCTGCAGAATTGCAATAACAATCAGCAGTTAATTTGCTTGTTTTTTTTCATTATTTTAAGCCAAACTAAGACCCATAAATTTGCAACTCTGTTATTATTCTTAGGGGACTGTAGTCTCAGAATAAATTTTTTTCATCCATTCATTCATTCATAGATATGGAAGTACATTCCCTCAGGGCAGATACAATTTCCCGATTTCTGTAGTCGGGTTGATTTTTTTAAAATTAAAATATTTTTTATTCTTAATTTTCAGTTTTTAAAACATTAACAATTCATTTTCATAACACATGATCACATTATATCATTCCAAATCAATTAATAATCGAGATACATAAACTATAATGAACATTTTTTTTTTCCAGTATTTGAGCTCAAATTGTTTCAAAACATTCATAGGATCTGAGTAATTACAGCCGAAAATTGACCATGTCATCAGCTCAAAAAATCTTTATGTACCTTTTAGAGGATTGATCAAACACAATTTTACACAGTAATTTGACAAATTATTTTGAGCTCAAATCATTTCAAAACATTCATGGAATCTCACCGTATAAATTGAGCCACCAAACTTAAAAACTGATCCAGCCGTTCGCTCAAAACAGCATTACATACCTTTTATATTTTATAGTATTATACACGAATACATTATTCTCATGTCGTTTTACTTTCTTAACACTTACGAACCCTCATCGGATAATATAATACATCAAACTTTAAAAGCGATCCAGATGTTTCAACACTCAGGGGATTGTACCGAATAATTTGAGTCATTAAACTTAAAAATTCGATTAGCCATTCGCTCAAAACAGCATTACAAAAGTTTTTCAAATTAATTAAACATATCATACTTAATAAACGAACAGTATTTCTAGATCAGATTGTTTAAAAAACTCACCGAATAATTTGAGCTATCACACTTAAAAATTGATCCAGCCGCTTGCTCAAAATCTATCAAACTTAAAAAATGATCCTGTGGTTCTCTCAAAAAGCGTTAAGATAACATTTAGCGGATGATCCTAACACATAATCCTCGCTTCGCTTAGTTGGGTAATAATAATCATTATGTATATATAAATTCTCTTTAACAACTTCTTACTGACCATAGGCACCATAACAGAAGTCGGTTGGAGAGTGAGAGTAAAAGAAAATATTCATTTTCTTAACACTGACATTACAGCCTAAGTTTTCAACCTTCATCAGGACTAAGCAAATACCAGATAACAAATAAATAGTAAGAAAATAATTAAATAGGCATATGTAAAAATTCACGTATTTGATTAAAGGAAAATCCAATAAACATATCATACATATTAAATAAACATATAAAGCAAAAAGTTATTAAATGACATTTTATAACCTTAAATAATTAAGAACTTAAAAGAACTTCCTCTTCATGAAATCAGAAAATTGTGAAATAGTTGTAATGATATTTGATACATAAAAGGGTGTGTGTAATTTTGATTCACATACTGTGTTTTTATAAGAATAAATAAGGTCAAAATACACAAAACTATATTTATAAGTTAACCTATATCAAAAATACACTGGGTGACTTTTTGCAATAAACCGATATACCTAAAATCATTTCAGAGTTTAAACTTTTTTCAAATGACAACTCTGGCATAAATAGCCATTAGGAATAAAATTTTCGTTAGTGGTTTGAAAGTGTCACATCTAGAAGACATGTAGGTCACAATCATATCAATCGGACAGTACATAGTATATCAAAACTAGCAAAATGGACGGTATCTGGAGATGACCAATCTTCACATCTTCCTAAAAATAAATTATGCAACCAAAGTACATGATAATGGATTGAAAAGGATCTGTTTTGACTGGCAATAATCCTAGCTTGGTACGGTTTCAACCTCAAAAGAAAAAGAGACATTAATGGTTTTAGTATCCCTTGAGCAAGTGAAACGAACCCAGTCCTCTTTAACACGCTTAACATTCAGCAAATTTTGGAACTTCATCCACACCCACCAGTCAACCACTTTTAAAACAGAACTAAATTTTGATAAAATGAGCTTGAACTAGAAAATAAATTAAACTTTTATTAAGCTATGTCATGTTTTGTGGACAGGAGGGCCAAAAACAGAGATTGGAATTTTTTGGTTTTCTTCCTACATAGATGTTGATATAGATGGATATCAAAGGCATTTCATGTTTTATATTTCAATCAAACTTATGCTTAGTAATTCTAATAACAATACTTCAATTTCATAAAACTTTATGTAAATCACAGTTATCGCCTTCTCCTTTTTTAAGAAATTATAAAACCCTAACATATCCTTAGTTGTGATTCACTATGTAAATTTACATACCAGGTGTGTATATAAAAAATAACTAATACTCATTAACATGAGATTCAACTTAAACAAGATAAATTCTAGGCATATTAGACTTGAATTGTAGATTATGTTAAAATTGTCTTTTTTTGCATGGAGATATAGATCTATATTCTTTAAATACAACTCTTTGATAATTTGAAAATATTTAATAAAGTAACAAATTGCGGAATAACAAAAATGCCTGATTTATTTATGTGTAATTTAATCTAATTAATTTCCAAAAACATCCATCACTCAGAATTAAGTTGCTAATATAAAAATTAAAACTACACCATGGCCCAATGACTAAAATTCAGAGCTCAAATATCATACAAAGTCAACCAATGATTCATAATCTATTAAACGCACAATACATTAGGCTGAAGGTTTGTCCTTTCAAAATTAATTTAATTAAACTGGGCAGAAAATAATATTCAGAATTATATAAATGAACTTAGGAACTTTGATATCTTCAACATCAATAAATTGGAGTAATACTTCAGTTTAAGGAACAAAATGATATACAATATCAAACGAAAAAGTGAGTGATCTTTAAACATATAAGACGGATGAGAATCACAGTAACACATTCTTTAAAAAAAATAAAGAAAGAAAGCATCCACTCCATAAAAAAACAATGACAAATTCTTTAGAATGTTTTATTATAGTCATCAAATAGAGAGTACTTTAGTTTTTCAAAACAAAATAAATAAGTGACGAATTCCTCAAACATAATAGAGCTAAATTCAAAATCAAGTGTATTAAGTGGTTTAAAGATTATCAAAACTATAAGATTGGCTATTTGATGAAAAAATAATGAACGTTAAAATTTACAATTTGTTATTATATTTAACATTAGCTGTGATAATTAACAAAAATTTAGACAATAGTTAACTTCAGAAGTTACTGTTGTTATAACCTTCCTCATCATATAAATGGTGTTATTTATAAAATCAATTAATGAACTTCTCCAAAAGAATTTATTTTGAGTTTTGACACGAAAGTCAAACTCTACAAATGTGTATTGTTGTAATGAAATAAATATGAAAGGAATAGGGACAATGTTTACATTGCCAAGGTTATGTTATGATTACATCGTGCGATAATTTGCTGTTTATTTTTAATTAACTACCCAGTGAAGATTGCAATTTCAATTAATGGAATGGATTTTTCTTTATTTTGTTGTAAAATAACACGATTTCAGTTTTAATTTATTAAGTTGTATAGCCAGCAATTGAAAGGAATAACCTTCGCCGCTCAACATGGTGGCCAAACAGTACTATGCAACTGTTTTTCTTATAGAACTTACACATTCTTCTTCTTTATCCATTCCACTGGGTAATTGAGGAACAGCTCTATTGATTGCCGAATATTCTGGCAAATCTGGGAGCTCCTCACTCCTGTAAACAGGCAAGGGCTTGGTAATTTCCAAGGCCCTCGGCCTGAACGAGAGCTTGTTCATTTTTGTTGACAACCTAGCAGCACATTGGCACAACACTAAAAACCTCTGCAGGGTCCCTTTGCAGGGTTACAGAGGGTAAAAACCCTGTCCCAACTGCACCTTAATAACTCTTATCTCGTTCCCATGTTTATGTTTATTCGCACTCAGTCACAAAAACAAAATATCAACTTTAAAACGTGAAAAAGAAGCCTGCCCAGCGATAGGCATCATGGCGGATCCATACAATTCAGTTCAGTACCAACATGCAACGCGCGGGAATCCACGCATGTTGATTGCATATGACTGTTCTCACTTAAGAAACCGATGTAAAATAAAGACTAACACACGATAATGTAACATTTTACTATTAATTCGCACTAGTCACGTATAATAAGCTTAAATAAATCTTGGGTTCATGTTGAAGCGACTAGCTGTAAATAAGCGGCAGGGTTAAGTACTACAGGCTAAGGCTAGCAATAATGGCGCCTGACTTCTTAACCATTGAAGAAAAATAATGAAATATACTGTGGAATGATGCTAGTTGGTTGGTTAACAAGGTTTATATTTCAAAATCATTTAATCCAAAACTTTAGTATGCACAAAAACTTAAACGTCCTCAATTAAATCAAGCAACATCTGCATAGATCCCCTTTTTGGGGTGCATTGAAAATTCAACAAGATTCCTCTACTATTTTAATAAGAAGAAATAAGTCATCTATTCAAATGAATTTAAATGATAAGGCGATACATGTTTTTTTTTCCTCCACTTAAGTAAAAGTTAATAGTTACTATAGTATTTTTATTTTTTTTTTGCAACTGTTTACTAGTTAATTCAGAACTCATCTTGTTAATTCATAACTTATCGATTGCTGATTTATTCTAGGATGAGATCATAAATAAAAATAAGTGAATTCGCTGATCTTATTTACTTTTTTAAAATTTTAATTACATTTAAAATTAAATTCAAATTAATATAAAATATTAACATTATGATCAAGCTACCAAGACTGGTAATGTTTAAAGGCCATTAAAGAGTGATAAGGGGTTGTTGTGGTTATAACTGCAATCGAACCTTTAGTTTCAAATGACAGTTCTATGATTGTATACGGAATTTCTGTTTATAGTCGAATTTATATAAAATATTTCATTAGTTATAATCATTTATTTACAAATAGATGACCTTTTAGTTTGATGACACTGTATTTAAATAACAATTTTTGAAATTTTAAGGATCTTGTTTACCATTGAAAAATATTGAATTTTCAAAAGATGTTTTCCTCTATTAATATTCTGACTATTAGCTCGTTATATTTTTCATCAATTAAGGTATTTCTTGTCATAGATTTTCTAATGTTTAATAGGCAATTATTGCTTTTTGCTGGATAAATAATTAAAAATAATGTTCTAGTTTCATGATTGGTCCTACCTAACAGAAACGGCCAGCTATCTGATGATTTAACAGTAGTGGTGTGTGATATTCCAATACATGTCTTGACTTAATAGTAGGTAATTTAAGCAAATACATTAACTTAGTCATTTTGATGGTTTGTTTACATCTTCTAGGGAACTTATCAGAATTCCCACTTGGGTGATGGGTTGGTGATTAAAAAACTTATGTATTTCCGATACACTGAATCATACTTTAATTTCCAATATTTTATGTTTTCAGTAATATTTTAATGATTAGTTTTTTGATGGTTAATGATTAGTCATTTTGATGGTTTGTTTACATCTTCTAGGGAACTTATCAGAATTCCCACTTGGGTGATGGGTTGGTGATTAAAAAACTTATGTATTTCTGATACACTGAATCATACTTTAATTTCCAATATTTTATGTTTTCAGTAATATTTTAATGATCTTGACTGTGAAGTACTATTTTGGAAAGCACATAGGAGGAATTGGATATTCATTGGATGTATTACAATTTAGATGCTTATTGATCTCTTAATGTTTAATTCATTTAGTGGAGTAGGCATCCAAATTCAATTGTTTTTCCATCGATGGAATCCAACACAAGTAATTTAATCCTTTAGCGATGGACAGTGAAGCACATTGAGATATAGAATACCTGTTTAGTTAGACAAGCAATTAAAACTCCTAGAAGGTAACAAAATAACTTATCTAAAATATACTGTCATAATATATTCAATTCTATTAAAAAATTAAATGATTTTTATTAGATAAATAAGGACAATGGATGGAAAGGAAATAATCATGGAGCACCAAGGTGAACATTTTCTTGCTACAGTTGACGAGGAATTGTACAACCAATTAATAGATGGTGAGTAGTTTCCATTCTTTGAGTGTGATGGAAATCCATAATTCAACCTTTATCACTCGAAAACAATACTGTTTCACGGAGGTTCTGCTCCGGCACTGTGAGTGGGCGTAAGATCTCTCTGTAGATTGAATTCTGAAAGTAGGAATAGGTAACCACACTTTCTGGTGAGACAGCAATCTCAACTGGAAAGCACTTGTTAGGGGCTTGTTTATCCCTTTTGGATGAGGGAAAGAGAAAAGCAACCATGTAAATAAAGCTGATTAAAGCCCTGATTTTAAATGAAAAGGACCCAAATTGTAGTTAGCCAAAGTCATAAATCAGAATCTAAATAAATGTGCTCTTGAACAAGTCAATTCTTGGAATTCTATTTATAATGTAACCATGAGATATTGTGTCTATCCATCTAAATGGAGCAACATTTGTGAAAAAGCACATTGAAAACGTATGGGGTCAAGGTGAAATTTATTTTAAATTGAATTTTATGTTTCGAGTTTTATATAAATATTAAAAAATAATAATTATAAAAATATCATGTATTGTTTTTTAAAGTCCTAAACATTTTTTATTATTTAGTTACTTGTAATTTCCTGTACATAGAGGACCTTAGTACACACAGTTCATCCTTTGCCATATTTCAATTATTTTCTTACCAATGGTATCTTCTGACGTAGCATGGGAAAATCCCAAATTGTGAAGGATGTAAACTAAAATTCAAGGCACTTTTCATCAATTTTCTATATTAAATTGAAACCCTCCGAGGCGTCTGAAAAGAAGATGGCCCCGTGATCTCCTAATGTAGTCATGTCATTAGAGTGCTACCATTGGGTAGTTAGTCAGCATGCGTATTCATGTCATTATATCTATTATGTCCAAATTTACTAAATGTATTTATGTAATACAGTTGTAAATGTCATTAAGAAATAAAAAATTTCAAACCTAACCAAAATTGGAAAATGTATTTGGTCAGCTTTTGATAAAATGTACGATTCAGACTTGTGAATGAACTTGCAAAAATATTAAGGTTGTATATCTTATTGATATTGATTAGTTATTACTTAACTTCTTATACTGTTAATAAAAAGAACCTATGATTTAATTGTTTTTTTGTTTTTTTATGCATTTTAAAGACTCGAGGCTTAATGTTTGAGTTATAACATTTTTAACCTAATAATTTCAGTATAAACTGGTAAAATTCACGTATTGAAATAAATTTTAACATAGTTTTATTATAAGATTCTAAATAGCTTTTTTAAGATTCTAAATTTTATGTGCATGAGCAACATTTATATTACTTTAAATAATGATTATAGAAATGAAATGAGTTTTGGCCAACCATTATTTTTGTCACTGCCTGTACAGCAAACGGAGAACTTATAAAACGACTCACTTTTAAGTTCATGGAAGGAGACTTTTTTTGTCTTCTTGGAATCAGAGATGGTTATGAAAGGAGAATATCCTCTATGTCAAGCCTCTTCTTAATATTTTATTGCTGCCAATTACTGATGAAATGGAATTATTAGACTACAAATAAAAATTTCCAAAGACTGACTGTTTTCCAGCAGAATTCCCTCTCTTTAAAATGTCCAAGGCTAATGGACAAACTGTTTGTTACCTCTAGCTCTTATTGTAAAAAATTTAAATTAAAGCAGGTTATCATTATATTAATTTGAATATTTATTTACCAAATGGTTAAATATAAAAGCCAAACAAAAAAATTAAACATGCAACAACATTTATTTTTAATTATACTTGTGTATTTCTGGAAATTTATTTGTAATTGAATACAACAGAGAGTTCTGAGTATGTGAAAACAATCTCTAAACCTCAACAAGAATATATTGAGTTTGTGAATATGTTGTTATTTATGTGACAAATATAACAATTTCTTGCATTAAAGGAAATTTTTATTGCCAAGCTCATAATCGGAGGTTTTATTTTTCCCATAAAAAAGTTAAATCCAATCGAAATTATTAAAATTGACTGTAATCTGAGAATCATTTATGGTCCCATTGAAATACCATAATAACATTTAGTATGTTAATTAAACATTATTAAGCACGTAAAAATTATTTTTATTTTTCAAAAAAATTCAAGATGTATAGAACCATATATACCAAGTTTTTTAAAACTTAGTTAATAACTATTTTATGATAGTTGATTTTAGAACATACATCAAAAAGAAGTTGGTCAAGGTTTCAATTAATAAAAGTACAAAGTATTGAAGAACGTTAGTCCAATGTTCTACGTATCATAGATGATAAATTTAGCACCTATAACAGTACAAAGTAGAAATAAATAAATTATATTTAATCTGTAAGAAATAAAAATAAATATTATTTATTTATTTTTATTTTGTACTTTCATTGACTGAAAACCACAACTTTTCTTCAAAAAATTATTTTATTTATTGGTTTGGTGTGCAATGATCCTCACAGATTCAAATTCATGTTTAATTTTCTACTATTTTCTGGGAAATACTAAAATTGACTACGATTGGCTGAACTTTTTAGAAAGCTTTATTGTGCCTCATTTTCTGAAAATAAATCGTAAGCACATCCATTCACTCTCCCCATCACTAAAATACCTAAGTGCATGACCATGCAAGTAAATTATAGCGTAGTAATTGTTGAATTTTTTTACAGATCCCAAAAAAAAATCGAAGTATTCAAAGTTAGTGCATGAACACGTATATGGATGCACAGAAAGCGAAGATAAAGATGACAGTTCCTCAGGACCC